CACAGTGGGGGCAGCTGAGACTCTGACCTGGTCCAACTCCCGCGTGTACTTGCCCCCAAAGTCCACAGCTGCTAAAGCTGGACCAGTCTTAGCTGTGGGAGCACTCGTTGTCCCTTCAGATATTCCACAGACGCAGGGTATACCAAGCCGATCGCGGGGATTTAATCTGCAGCTTGTGCACTTGCAGAGAGAGATTTCTGTTTCTCTGCCTTCGTTGCACAGCCCCTGGGAGTCAGCTTTGGTTTTGGTCCCACCTGTGGCTCTGCATGTGGGCTACCCTCAGTCATCTGGTCCTCGCCCAGGTGAGAGGGGGAAAAAGCGGCAGCTGACTGAGGCACAATTGCTTGGCTCAGGCCGCGGAGGGATAAGGCGGCCACAAGTGGGATGCATGCGCTTCCTCCAATGGGATCCTCTTCTAGTGCCTGCAGGGGCGGGACTGGCAGGAAGTTGCAACAGACTGGGGCGTGCTTGCTCCGGTGGGAGTCCCTCCCAGTTTCTGCAGAGGCAGGGGCTGCCGTGTGGGGAGAGAGTCCGAAGATGGCGGCGCCGCCCATTGTGTGCCACTCAACAATGGCGCCTCGCTTCCAAGGCAGCCCACTCTTCCTCCAGAAGTGCTCCTGGCCGCGGAGCCCCTCACTGCCATCCCCTCAGGTTGTCTCCGCACAGCTGAGCTCCTCACTCCAGTCCCTTCCGCCTGTCTCCACGCAGCCAATAGCCGTTCTCACCCTGGGTCCGCTCTCCTAACCCCACGCTTTAGCACTCAGCCCCTGCCTGCCTTGGCCGATTCCTGTCTCAGGCTGGGGCGCCCAGGGCTGATTCCCGAGGAGGCTTTGGTGGGGGCAGCGCTCAGGATCCCGGAGCCTGCGCAAGCAGAGGTGACCTTGGCTTGAAGGAAGGGCAATCCTGCTCAGATGGGTGACCCTCCCAGTGCCCGTGGAGGCAGGGGCCGATGGGTGGGGAAGGGGGTTGCCCTGGCCGCCCCGCCCCTTGTGCACCACTCAACAATGGCGCCTTGCTTCTACGGTGGCCTGGGCTTCCGCGAACTTGCCCGGTTGTGGAGTTCCTTACTCCCGTCCCTTCAGGCTGTCTCTTCACAGACAACAGCTGTTCCCTCCGTGGGTCCGCTCTCCAAACCCCACCTTCCAGCACCCAGCACCCTCCATACCAGGAGACACACGACTCAGGCTGGGGTGCGCAGGGCCGCAGCACAGACCACGCACGCACATCTTACTCTCTCCTGCCTTCCACAGACCGGTTGCTGCATTCCCCTCCGATGCCCTGAAGCTCCTTCTCTGTCCCAGCTGATTTACCTCCCTGAGGGAGTTTTTCTGAGTGCAGGAACCTCTCCTCACCTTCAGCTCCCCACCAGGGGTGCTGGTCCCTTTCTGTTTCCTCTTTTCTTTTTTTCTTTCTTTGGTCCTACCCGGTTGTGTGGGGATTTTTCTGGTCCTTTTAGGTGTCCGAAGTCTTCCACTAGTGTTTAGCAGGTGCTCTGTGAGAACTGCTCCATCTGTAGATGTATTCTTGATGTCCTTATGAGGAGAGGTGAATCTACGTCCTCCTCTTGTGCTATCTTGATTCCTCCCCTCTCTCCATCATGTTTTGAGCACTACATTACTTTTGGCACAGAAAGATATTACAGACTCATACTTTTCCCTGCCTCAGCTCTGGAACTAGACATTTCTTCAGGGAGTCCTGGCTCCTTTTAGTAGGAAATGAATTTAGAAACCAAGATTTGGGCACTTTGGTGTGCTCATTGCTACTTGTGTATAGTTGACCCCAGACCCTTTCCGTGGATAGAGACAGGGAATATATCACACACACACACACACACACATGCACACACACACACACAGACCTACAATACACAGTTACATCTCCGTTTTCTATATCACATATGTTGAAAGCCATGGGTTCATACCCATGGCTCTAATTCTAATCCAACATGGGAATCATTCTAGTTTCCTCCCTTCACATATTTGTAACAATAATCTAACAAAAGTGAAAAATCCTGCCCCTGTTTTCTTAATATATTTACTTGCTTGTATGTAAGCAATCTTTTTTCACTGCCCCTACCTCCCTCTCCATCTAGATGCCCTCCTTGCCCTGCTCGAACATTGACATGCAATGCTAGGCCACCAATGTCTGCCTCCCTCCCTCAGACCTCCCACCAATAAAAAATGCCCTCCTCACCCCAGGCTCCAACACCCTAGTGCTGGGCCACTGCTGCTGTCCTCTTTCCCACGTGGCTCATCTAGATCCCATTGAAGTTCTGATATCTGGTGCCCAGATGATGCCAAGCCACTGACACCACTGTTCCACAAAAATAAATGCCTCACTCCTCAGCCTCCAACACCCTCAGCCAGGTTGCTCTCTGGCTTAGATGCCCTCCTCACCCTCTGCCATCCCTTCCACAGGGATGCCATCATTGCCCTACTCAGGGCCTGATAACCCTGTGTGTCAGTGAATTAAACAGACACTCTCATAATGTAGCTTAGGCTCAGGCACTCCATGCTGAGCCATCATGGTCACTCCCCACGCCTCCAGCTGAAGCCTACCTACCCTGCCCAACTTTCCCAATGACTTCTGGACTTGGGGAAGGGATTCTGTTTTTTTTAATGAAAGCTCTTTCCTCATGTTCTAATCTGATAACCCACACCTTGCAAACAATTAAGCCAGTTGTAGGCAGACTACCTATCATGTGTGTCATAATTCCTTTAACCAGAAGAAATTTAATAAAAAGAGTCCTTTGTATAAGGGAAACAGACTTCACTAAAACACATCACTAATCTCAGTCTTTAACACTCCAACAGGCAGGGTCCTCATCTGGGGCAACAGCACAGAGGATGGATACACCAATTTTACAGGGTAATAATCCTATCTCTCCTATGCATAGTTTGTACCTACCCAATCTTTCCTGTACCCCAAGACATGTTTTCCAAAGTCTAGTAAGTCTGTTTTTTTTTTTAACTGACTGGAGCTTATATATGGGAGAAAAAAAATGTGAGTTAACTTCCAATTCTAAGACTGTTAAGAGCCTACATGCTATATAATTTTATTTACTAAAGACCTCTTTTAATTTTGAATGAAAAACTGAATGTTTGACAAAAGTGAACTGTGAATCAGCAATCAATGGACAGACCCAAGGTGGCCTCTTAACTCATTCATCAAAGAGTACATCACTTCTTTTAGGACAGAATTCCCTGATATCTAAGCATCCTTTCAGAGTGAGTGTAGTGATCTAGGGAGCCATTTCTATTAGTTATTCCTCACATTTACTGTGGTCTCTGGAATACATTTGCCAGTAAGTCAATCTAACTTAAAGATTTATCCATTATTCACACAATTTCCACCTTTTCTCCAAAATTAGCATTTCCCAAAGTGTGTTCCAGGAAACACTGGCATCTCAGAATGTTAATACTTGTCATGGAATTAAAAGCATATGGGGCCAAATAAGTTGGGAATATTTGGGTGACACAGATTTCTCCACTGTAGGACTTTTCAGAGCCTATATTACATGAATCTTAAGGAGACAAAGATGAGACACAGCTTTCCCTTTCCCTGACCCAATATCACTCAACTATAGTAACCTTTTTTTTGTGTGTGGTACGCAGGCCTCTCACTGTTGTGGCCTCTCCCATTGCGGAGCACAGGCTCCGGACACGCAGGCTCAGCGGCCATGGCTCACGGGCCCAGCCGCTCTGCGGCACGTGGGATCTTCCTGGACCGGGGCACGAACCTGTGTCCCTTACATTGGCAGGCGGACTCTCAACCACTGTGCCACCAGGGAAGCCCTGGTAACCCTTTTTGAGTGGAGCATTTCTTAGAACTAATGTTCTGTAGAAAATATGATGAAAAAAATTCTCTAACAGTTAATAATAATATATCTCTTTAATTAAAAATCTTAGGCCATTTACAAAAAAGGAAAATATAAGAAGTTAGATATATGGACAAATATTCAACTTACTAATAATCAAAGAAATGCAATTAAAACAATGAGAACTGTTCACTTGTCAAGAACACAATGAATTCAACAAATGATACTGGTGAGAGTATGGTGACCTGGGCACTCTTGTACATTGCCAGTTAAGGGTATCTGTCTTTTAAGAAAACAGTACAATTCTTTTGGAAAGCAGTTTGGCAAATGTTTATGTCCACTAACCTTAAAATGGCCCATCTGAGATTCTCTTCTTAAGGAAACATTCCAAAATGAAGAAAATGTTTTATGCTCAAAGATGCTAATAGCTATACTTATAATAGTGAAAAAAAATCCCAAATAATGAAAATTTCCAGTAATAGGAAATGTCTCAGTAAACCAAGGTACATGGTATGCAGCTGTGAAAAAGATTTACAGCGTTTTTATTAGCATGGGGGAAATGCTTCTATTATTATGGTACCTAAAAACTGTGGGTGTCAAAAGTCTAAATACAGATCCAGTTGCCCCTTGACGCCCATGGAGGGTACTTCAACATACCATTTCTTCCAAAAGTACAGTGAGGTAGAGCTGAACTTTTAAAGTGATTTTCAGACCCTTAAAAAAATTACTGTAAAAGCACAAGAAAGCCCTACTGAAATGGGAAGTGGGACAGCTGGTTAGGTCACTTGCCAGTTAAGTGTTTTACTCACAAATTCCAGCAATTCAAATTTGTGCCTCAGCAAAATTATTATTTAATACATACGATGAACTTGTGGAGCTGCTTGGGAATGTAAGATGGTGACTATTAACTCCGAATGCGAAGGGTCTATTTATTGCTTATTTAATTCAAAAAGTAAAGGAAGAAAACATCCCAAAATGCTAGCAATATTTATTTGGTGGGGGGGAGGGGGCGGGGGAGGGACACGTATTAGGAGTGATTTTTCTCTTCCTTCCTACTGCTTTCTGAATTTCCCAAATTTTCTGTAACGGGAATGCATTACTTTTTTAGTAAATGTTTTAGTGAAATACAAGGCATGAAAGTTAAAGTTTAGTTGTTAAAAAGAATAAAATAAAAGGCAAATACCTGTCCTTTTGTCCTGTAATCTGCCAAGATGTTAAGCAGCTTATAAAATACTTCGAACCAGGGGAGATAGCTGGGGGAAGAAGAGGAAACACATGGAACATTAGTACGCAGGTCAAAAACTTTAACCAGGAGCTAATTGAAGATGGTACATTTTGGTTTCTCTCTACATCGTGAAGAGCCTTCCTGCCGTAGGCTGTGCTGGAAACGCAGATTGGTAAAATGTTAATTATTTCTGAGATTTTAAAAAATTGCCTGTGTAAGGCAGGAGATTAAATGTCCATTATAAATTATTCCCATGCCTCAGAGCTAGAACAGGTTCACAGAGAAGAAATTCAAAGCAGACTCTGCAATCAGGAACCATCTCTGAATAGCCCCCCAGGCCCCACACCCACCCCTTCCAGGAAAGCGTCTGTTCAAGTTTCTCATCATTGGATACACACAGCCACACACACATACAGCACTTCCACTGCTGCCATGTGCAAGGTGTCCCAAAGGCCCCATGAGCCTGTAACCACTCATTAAACCTTCTATTACAATGCACCCTTCCCTGTACTTACTGCAGAAAGAGCTCTAACTCTGCACCCCACCCTGCCCTCCACCGGGTTCTGACCATCATGTCCCTTAACTCTGATGACAGCCTGGTCCTGACCTTACTCCACCCTCTGTGTGGCTCATAGAATGGTCTTTCTAAAGCGCGAATCTAAGCGGCACATTGGATTAAATTCCTGCAGTGGTGCCCCATCACTACGGGACTTCTTAGGACAGTGTTCAAGGCTCCTCTGTCAGGTCCTTGACTGTGTCTCCGGCTGTCCTCGCCCTGCAGCCCCACATACGTACTCCTCTCACTGCAGCCACGCTCCGAGGAATGTCCAGGCATCCTCAAGCCTGCCAGAGCTTGCACTGCATACACTCGGCACTTTTCTCCCTCTGACCTTCATGATCTAGTCTAGCTGATTTCTATTCATCCTCCTAACAGTTCCCCACCCCCTCCCCATCCCCACCTCTCATGCCCCAATTCCCTTTTTTCTGTGCTGCCCTGTCACGTGCAAACTCCTGTTAGAACAGTCCACACACCATGTGGCCCTCAATGGCGTGTCTGTCTTCCCAGCAGACTGAGCATGACGAAGAGGAAGGATCACATCTTTCTTTACTTTGTCTTCCTAGGACCAAGCATGGAGCCTAGCAGACCCTCAGTGCTCAGTGTTGATAGAACAAACAAAACCAAAGGCTAACAACGAAGGCGCATTGTTGCTATAGAATTATTGTTGAAACATACCCCTACTCCCAAGAAGTTTTTTCACTTAAAATTTAAATGGCTTTGTTCTCCATAAGAAACTTTTCCAAAGCAATATCAAATACTCATGTGGGAAGAGCGTCATACCAAGCGCCTGCCGACCTGCTCACATCTGCCCTGATGCGCTAACAGTATCCGTTACTGATAGAGTGGAGCACTGACTCCATCCTGCCAAGCAGAGGGAAATCAGCGCCCTGGACAGATTACCAGCTGTACCGTTGAGGGTAATAAATGAAGTGAGAGGCAATAGAGAGGACAGATAAAGCGCACAGTTCTCTGTCATTAATGTCTGTCTGAAGCCAGCACATGCTACTGTAAAATTTAAGTAGCTTATCACAATATACTGATAAGCAACTTAACTTTTCACTTCTATGACAGTATTATCACTTATGTTAATATGTTTCAATCAGCTCTGGCAGCTGCATATTGATTATTACAGAGCAAAGGACTGCTGCCACTTTACACAGCATTTACTTTGGCAAAGTAATGTAAACATTCAAGAGGGATTAGGGAGGAGATAAGTTTCTCCCTTCCTATTCTGTTAAATAAACCTCGGCTGAGTTAAAAGCCATTATAGAAGGAACAGTAAATCCCCTCAGAAGAAAACTCCTGCCCAGATTAGAGGACTGGTAGCAAACAAATTCAACCAAGGATTACAAATATCTTTTTTCTTTCCCTGAAAGAAAAAAATACCACTAGTTAAATCCAGCAGGAAGGGGTCGAGGGGAAGCAAGAAGAGAAAATATTTTCTTGTAAGGAAACCATGGCTTCAAGTAAATGAGAGAAAACCTGAAGTTATTTTAGGAAGTCCTGATCAAGTGACTTGGGACAGGCTGGCTTCTCTGATAACTTAGGACTGTGGTATATAGGAAGCAGTTTTGGCCACTAGGTTCAACTGACCAACATAGTTTGGGCCCACAACCTCACACCTCCGCGTCCTGCCAGGCTGTGAGGATGCAGGAGGTTGACATGGTACGGCCACCCAGCCCACAGCAGACTGTGCCCAGGTTCTCACACTCAGCCTCGACCTCACCAAATCGATTCTTTTTGGCTACGCTAAGCAGAACCCTCAGCCATGGGCGGTTTTGTAGTTACCCTGGAAATCAGCCATCTCTTTCTTCCTTCAGCCTGACTGGACACAACTGTTCCCCACATGTTGTCCCCTGTGCACTGACAGATGAATATCTAGTGATGGCAGTGTTAAGGTCTTGAAACCAAAACCCAGCTGTCTTCTTCAAAGGATCCCTCTTTTCCCCTGTTGGGAGGCCAGGGTTCACAGCTGAACTTTATCCAGTGGCGTTTCCTGTACTGCTTCATTAGTGCGGACACAACAGCTTCACGCTGCCTGCAAGGGTGCAGGTGAGGATATGGAGACCCTCCACTCCATTTTGTACTTGTCTGTCAGCATGGAGTAAACACTACTTCCCAATCCAGAGACAGGAAACAAACACTCCATTACACTGCTCCTCCCGGGACGGCTAAAGGACGGCGCCTGCTCCACTTGCTACCTTAATGCAACTGCTCGAGTTTGCAATGCAAAGCATCAATACGTGGTGGGCTCAGTCCAAGGCTGGGGCCAAAAATCCCAATCACAAAGCGTCCCTGCACTCAAGAAGGCCACGGTCCTACGTGGGAAAAAGACATATACAACAAGGAGTAATAGTTTAGGTGGGGGGTTGGAACTCTTTCCCAAGCGTTTTATTTAGCGTAGGCTTTTGCATCAAATTATTAAACCAAAAGGAGCATTATCATGACCCAATCAGCAGAGCCTTGATGGGAAAAAGCCAAAATGGGAAAAGTCTGCTTCCCAGGCACCGGCCTTGATCCAAGCTTCTCTTGCCAAATCATAGGTCAGGTAACTTTGTCCCAGGGTCTGTCCTTACTCCCTGACCTGACAGTCAAATGAAGAGGCTTTTGTTTTGTGTGAGGCAATATAAATTCTTAAACTTGAGAAGAGCTCAGGCAGCACTCAAGTATTCCTACACACATGACCTCACTAACGTGGGCTATCACAAGCCTTTGTGTGAAGTGCAGGGGCAGGTCCCAGAGATTGCACATAGAGTCAAATGGCTCACAGTCAAAATCACCTGTAAAATTCCCTTAAGATGACTCCAATGTACAGCAGACTTGGTTTGTATAGAAACAAAGCAGATGGCCCAAGTATAGGGGACCTATTGAATGAAAACTGCCTCTGTTCAAATCTGTCAGCTTGGTGAGCTGCTTACCCTCCAGGTGAACTTAGGAACTGAGTCCAACAGAGGATAGATAGATGACTCGCTTTTCTAATCTCACTCCACTGAATGGACTTTCAGTATAATCATTCCCACACATGTACGAGTGACCTGGAATAGTGTGTATATGATGGGATTCCACTCCAGTGTCTTAAGTACTAAAATAGAAAACCATTACAAATTTTAAAAAGCTCTCCCACTTCACTTGCTAATAGTTCAGTTCAAAGCCATTAAATGAGCCCAAGCAAGGTAGAGGGGTGTGTGTGTGTGTGTGTGTGTGTGTGTGTGTGTGTGTGAGAGAGAGAGAGAAAGAGAGACAGAGAGAGAGAGAGATGGGGTGCAATGGTGGCAGAAGCGGACCAAGTTGAGAAAGGTGACCACCTGCAAGAAGAGTAGTCGTGAGCAGGACGTCACAGCACAAGCATGGAGAGGACAATATCCCCCAGATGGAACAAACTGGCACAGAGTTTTGGAGGCCAAGTGGGGTGAGGAGGGTTCCCTGGTAAGGGAAAATCAGGGCTCCAGGAGGATAAGGAGGGTGTCTACACAGGAGGTGGCCTGGCTTGGAGTGTCAGAACTCAAAAGGGGTAAGAAGGGTGTATAAGTAGGGGAAAGGCCTGGCACTGGGTAACGAAAGCATCTATGTCAGTAGAAAGAAGTTGACTAGAGTAGTATTAGAACCCAAGAGGATTAAAAAAGAGCATCTGGAAGGCAGTCCAGTGTGGGATGCCAGAGCCTAAGTGGACAGGAGGGCTTCCATGAAGGATGGCCAGGCAGAGTTCAAGCAGCTGAGAAGGATGTCTATGGCAGGAGGAGACAGCAGTGACTGCCTTGCCTACAATGTCAGAGTTCAAATGGGGTGAGGACGGCAGCCACAGAGGAGGGGGGCTACGAAAGAGGGAGACTGGTTACACACAGGGGAATAGATCAAGACTGATCAAGTAAGTAAATATATAATGAAAACCAAGCTTATTACTATTAGCGAAGAGAGTTACTAATATGAATATGGAGAAAATAAGAATGAACCCTACCACACTGAACTGGAATTAGATGTAACTATGTGAAATCATGGAGAGAGATAAAAGAAATACAAATGTATGTATGTACATTATTACAGATACATATACAGATACATATATTCTCTAGCTCTAGCCACTGAAGGGCCTGGCACAGACATCCCAATTATAATAAGCACACTTAATGCCCAAATCCTGGCTTCTAAGTACCATTCTCCACTAGAAGGAACCAGGGCTCCTGGAAGAAATGTCTGATTCCAGGGCCAGGGCTGGGAAATACCTTGTGCTAGAAAAAAGGCAGTGCTCTACATATGCTTAGGGCATACCAATGGGACACAGAAAAGCTAGTATGGATGGGTTCCTACTGACCGTATCTGTGACAATTTGAGCATCAAAACAAATAAGGAGAGAAAGAGGTCATTTAATAATAACTAAAAAAGGAATTCATGAGTCTTTGCTGGAATAAATAAGCAAATTAAAAGTTTGGTAAGGATAGGATGAGGATATTCCTAGTGTACCTTTTAATTAA